AACAATAACAGAGAATATTTTATTTTGTAACCGTCGTTGAACAGCCGACCCAAATGATCCGTCTACCACTGTGGATATTTCACGTCACCACTATGGTTGGTGCAAACCGGATGCGGAGGTCGTATCTACCAGCCATCGCCGGAATCAAACCCCGGTTCACCTCATTGGAAGGCGAACGCTCTATCCCCTGAGCCATCGCGGCTCAGAGGATAAAGGCCATCGCGGCTCAGAGGCTAAAGGCCATCGCGGCTCTGGAGAATATGGGAAAAGTGAATTTAGGTACCTCATTTGGCCACCTTTAATTTCCCCCACTTACGAAAAATTGAACTCTTCCTTTAAGCTTTTCCGCCTCCCGCCGTGTTCCAATAATACCACCAAATTTATTAATAGGAACTATATATTTTATAGACAGATAAATATGCGCAGCTTCTTTCTAAAATAATTATTTTTAGGTATTTAGTCAATAATTGAGGGCTAAATAAAAACCAAATATAATAAAACTGAATTATATCTGAAATAACTGCACACAGTAAATTTGAAAATGTAATAGTTAGTCATAACTATACTTTTGGCTCAATATCGAATCACAAGCAATACCAAGCTAAATAGACCTGTAAATATGAGTAGCTTCTCTCTGAAAAACTATTAGTGTTAGTCATTTAGTGAATTGAGGACCAAATAAAAAATAAATATAATAGAATTTAATTATAATTGGAAAAATTACGCAATGTAATTTTGAAAGAGTAATAGATAATAATAGTTATATTTTTCGTTCAATATTGCATCATAAGTAAAGGGTAAAACAGCGCATAAATAACAAGTTCATTGGTTTAAGTAACAGTTGTACTTTTTTTTAGTAAAGTCAGTCAAATAACTATAAAAAAGATTATAAGGCTTATCATCTATTAGTAAGTGTATAATAGGTTTATTGCAGTCAATAAAGTATTATTTTTGAAATTTAAACTTGTGCCCTTCAGAAAAATAATCTGTCGCAAAAGAGATACAGAGTTTTCTTAAAAAATTTAGATATTTGGTCCATATTTTTATATATAAAGCTTTGAAACATATGATTAACCATGAAAATGTTCTCTTTATCTTCTCTATGTAAGTCCCAGGGACTGACTGTTTGTTACAATAGCTCTTTTTAAGCTCTTAGTTTTAGACATCTAAATGATTAAACTGTACTGAAATATATTTGTCCTACTGTAAATCATCATCATCAATGCTATTACTTAATACCTGCAATCAGTATCTATCTACCAAACTCAGTGTTCTAACCATCATAAACTAGAAAAATTTTCAAATCTTAAATTTAAATTTTGATATTTATCATGTTTACAAAATTTAATTAACAAAAGTTTTCTTAAAAAAGTTCTAAAATGTATACATAGCTTTCAGCACTTGGTTTAAGTAATTAAGAAGTTTCTTTAAATCGCTTTTTAAAATTATATTTAAAAAAAAACTCTCAGATTTCAATGTTTTTGAAATGATTAATGAGTTCGCAGAAACTGCAGCTGCTGCTGCAATAGTATATATAATTTTTTTGCAGATTAATGATTCATTCATAATCCTGTCACAATGTCACTTCTTTCTTTCAAGACAAAACCACAAAAATAAATAGCTTTAATTGAATCACTTTATAAAATTATTTACGCTTAGATTTCAATGCTTTAGAAATTAATTTGTTCTCAAATTCTGTAGTTGCTGCTACAATAGTTAGATATATTTTTATGTGCAGAATAATGTTACAAGCAAATTTCTGTTACAATGTCTCTTACTTTTTTTCTTTCTCTGAAGACAAAGCCACAGGCATTCTTCGCTTTAAATAAATTGCTAATTTATTTAAATCGCTTAATAAAATAATTTTTTTGAAAAAATTGCTTAGATTTTAATGCATTTGAAATGAATAAGTTTATGAAATCGGTAGTTGCTCCTACAATAGTTACTTATCATTTTATGTGCAGAATAATGTTACAAGCATAATCCTGTTCCAATGTCACGTCACTTATTCTTTTTCTTTCTCCGAAGGCAAAGCCATAGGAATACATAGCTTTTTCGTCATATTTAAACTATGTAATAAAGGCGAAGTCTTAGTATATTTTAGGATGATCAGAATAGTTATTTTCAATACAATTTGTATTATTAAACAAATAAGGGCAGAATGATTTTTCTTTAAGCTAAAAGTTTCATGTTACATTACAACTATCATATAAAGTTATATTGATTTTTACACAGAGAGGAATAAAGTAGAGAAAAAAACCCTATTCCTTGCTAAACGCGGGGAAAAGAATTCGGGAAAAAATTACTGTATTCTATGGTAATAGCATTTCTGGTAACAAAACCATAATTCTGGTAACTTAAACCAAATGATATGGTATTTAAACCATTCATTTTGCAATTGTTTCCTTCAAATAGTCTTACAGATAATTTAGGTTTTCAAAATTATCACACGCTTTGTATAAAATACAAAACTGAAAAGTCAACGAATCCGAATAAATGGTTTTATGCTGTACTTTAAAGTACAATGATAAAATTGCCAAATTTTATCATATTTACCAATTTTTATCCGATTTTATAAATTGAACAATCATATTTTATTGTTAATTTTATCGATCTCATTACAAGAGTTTTTTGATACTCCTGAGAACCAAAAAACTCGATACATTCCTTTATATTCTGGTTGTTTTTATCCTACTTTTTTCTCACTCTAAAATGACTAAACTTTCATGAAATAAAATTATCTTCTTCTTCAAAATAAATTATATTAGCTTTGAAACGTGATTATAAAAACGTGAAGCAGGACAAAAGAATATCTTGTTACAATTAAAAACCATTTCCTTCACTTTTCATATACACTGTGAAACACGGAAAAATGGTTAAATAACTATTTATTTAATTGTTATTTTACCATATTCAAATAAAACAGTCAAATAACCGTATATAAGATGAAATTCAAACTGTGAACATTGAAAAAAAATCGTTTATTTATTGCTTTCACCTATTACGGTTAAACAACCTGAATTTTATAGCTCAACAAGGCCCACCTAATAAAGCTCTTTAATTCCTTGTAACTGAGTACATATTATATCTGAGAGGGCTAATCTGTCAATCTCATAACCGAAAGCATGGGGATTCGAGTCCCAACGATGACATCACATTATTTTTTCCATTCCCTTCAATCCATACGGAGTTTCCAGTATCTTGCATTCATCAATTTGTGACACTGGACTATTAGAATTCGATACTCTCATTCACGCATAAATTGAAGTACTATAAAACCACTTAATACAAAAAAGTCTTGAATATTTCATTTCTTACGATAAGTGAAACAACCAGATAAACTAATAGAACCCCATTCCACATTTCATTTGGTAAAACACAACGCAACTCAATTTGATAAACGCGGCCACAACCTAACCTCCAATACCTAATACCTAACGAAACGCCTAGCTTTCGTACACTTAAATTTTGTTTTTATGGTTTTGAAACCATGTTCGTCGAAAACGGTTAAAAATGTATAGTTTTGTATTTATAGTTTCCTAACCATACTCGTTGTAATGGGTTCCAAAACTGAAAAGATAAAATTTTTTCCTTACGGTAATCCTTACTATTCATTGGATGGACTGACTGCTTGCCAGTATTTTTACGGTAATTTTAGAATGAAACTTCTAACAGTGTAGTGAATATAATATTGTATCCATGCATTTACTTCTTTAAATGTTTTTTAGTATTCACTATTCAGTTGAAAAAAATTAAATATCAAAAGTAATTAATCAAAAGAGTTCTAAAAGAGTGTGATTCTTTTCCAATTATAAATTTAATAAAAAGCAATATTTTTTTACTAAAATTTGTGTAAAACAACGTGTTTTTGCCAAAAATTGCTTTGATTATTGTTACAGATGTTTATTGCTGTTTTCCAAAAATTTCAATTATTTTCAATACATTTCTAAAAAAGAAAAATGAATGTTAATAATCAAATCAAATCTGCATCAACATTGGGGTAACACGAATTTACTTTAGCTAAAAATCGTAAACACTTTTAGAAAATAAGTTTTAACTTATAATATTAGTTTTCTTAAAATTTCAACTATTTTCAACGCATACTTTTCTAAAAGAGAAATGATTGCTAGTAATAAAAACTGTTTTTTTTGTTAAGTTGCAAGTAACTCGTGAAATTGATGACTCATGGACTAAAACATATTGATTTTTCGAAAGGGTAAATAAAAATCTCAATACCTTCAGTTTTATGTGCTTGTCAAAGCTAATATTGCTTTTATGGCCTGGGAGTCTACTTTACGGCTGGTAGAATAATTTAATCTTTACTGTTCTCTTAAAAAAAGAAATAAAGTAAAATAAAAAGAAAATTTGCTGAAAATGAAGATTAAAAGTTTCATTACCACCATTAAATCTATCAACATCACAAAGTTGTATTTTCATTTAAGTCATATGAGAGTTAATATAATACAAGAAAAAAATGCAACGAAAAATGTAAATGATTAGGAATGCTAGAGAATGAATTCAATTGCGTGCTTGCAATTCATGAAGAAGACCTCCCATACCCACTTCTGTGATCTATGACGTCAGCTAATCTTTATCAACAAAATGGCGTATTAAAGTTTCTCTATGTAGGCTAGAATGTTAATTAAGGATAGGCTAATCCAGTGGTTCCCAACCTTTTCTGGACCATCGCCCCCCTCTTGTGGTTGGCTGACACACATCGCCCCTTTTTCTTTTTGCTCAAAAACCATTCTTTGCTGCTTGTGAGCAACCAAACGCTAAGTTATATTTGATTTTAATTTAAAATGTAATGCAAATAAGGAGGCAATTTTATCCTGCCATTTTTATGCGCATCTTTTTTTTGAGAAAGAAATTATATTTAAAACGGAATAATCAAAACAAAAGTACATTTTTTAAAATTCATATTTTAATGTAATCAAGAAAAAGTTAAAACGTTAGCAACTAAAATTTGAGAAAAAAATGAAGAGTGAGAAAGTACATTTTTACCACTTCAATGCTTGGTGTATGCCCTGTGCTTGGTGTATTTCAGTTAAAGCTTGAATGTCAGGTTTTATGTTCGTCAGATTTATACGCAGGTCTCCTTTGAAGCAAATGTCCAACCTATTTCTTTGCTTTGTGAGGAGCTGGACGACAGAACTAAATCCTCTCTCCACTAAATTTGTTGACGGTAATGATGAGATGAGGAGCGGCTCAGTTTGTTTCCACAATTGTGGATAAGTGTCCATAAGCTTTACCCAAGCTAACTCGTAACCGTATTTTTTAAAGATGACTTTAGCATACTTCAAATCTAAAGACTCTGCAAAGAGGAAGTGAGAAAGGATCGAAAATCCGATCCGGAATTTCTAATTTCATCAAATCTTTAAGTCTTGATTCCATATCAGTTTTTAACTGGTCAAGGTGATCAATAAAAATTAAAGATTTTATTTTCGAGAATCTCGATATCTGCAATTGAACACTTTCTAAGAGTTGGAAATTGCATTAGCTCTTTGCGACCAATGTTTGACTTGTAGATATCAAACTTGGCGATAAATGAAGATATGATTCCCTTAGCCTTGATAATGTTCACTTTATTTCCTTGAAGTTTTATGTTGATTTCGTACATTTTTTCAAAAATATCCGTAAGGTACGCAGCTTACTTAAAACGGGATCAGTGGTGTCGAGAAACTCAGTAACCGAGTCAACGATTCGAAAAAACGACGCAAACAGTTTCCTTTTAAAAGCCATCTCACATCTGTATGTAGGAGCAAGCATTCGAAAGCTTCATCATTTTCACGGCAAAGTTCTCAGAACAAACGGTCATTGAGAGAATCAGCTATGATTTTATTGATGCCAGAAATAACGAATTGTAAAGTGTCATGCAGGACACCACTTAACTTTTTTGCAGAAAAATGTTGACAATGAATGGTGATGACCACCAGTACTTCTTTTTTAAGGTACGCTAGAAGCCCAGTATGACGACCAGGCATGGCAGGAGCACCATCTGTCGCACAAGCACTTACATTTGTAAGGGGAATTTTTTTTCTCCACAAAATAGTCTTTGACCAATTTAAAAATCTACGAACATTTTTTATCAGTGATCAAAGTTCTTGTAAACAACATATCCTCGTTCATCCAATCTCCTTACTCTCATTTATGAATCTCACGTAAGCTAATACAATAGCTTTGTTATCTATCTCAGTTGAGTCATCAATCTGCAACTCAAATTTACCTTCTCTCATAAATTTGATGAGTTTTGATTCAACGTCTGCGGCCATCTCATCAATAAGCCTGGAAACAGTATTATTGCTCAGAGGTTTTATCTTATTGCTCGATCCCTCACCCAACATGATTTCAAATTTTTTTTTAGTAGCAGGTAAAATAAGAGTTTACCAATTGTGTGAGGTTTAGAGTTGTATAAATGTTTCGTCTATCAATTCGTTTCTCCTATTACATGCCTTTTAAAATCGGAGGGATTGGAATGAGACGAGAGAGGAACATTTGAGGAGAAGAAGGTATATAAAAGACCATGACTTTCAACAAAAGAGACTTCTTGAACGTCAGATTTCCGCCAGCGATACCAAAACGTATGACGAAAACGATTCTAAACTTGAAATTTTTTAATTTTTAACTATCGTAATTCTTTATCTGCACCAGAACCATAAGCTTCATATATGTTTTCAATTTCGATCTGAAATAACTTTTGTCATTAATATTATTAGCAATTTTTATCTTTTAAACACTCGTCGCCCCCCGATCGCCCCCCTAAGGATTATCGCCCCCATGAGGAGCTCTATCGCCCACTTTGGGGCGATCGCCCCCAGGTTGGGAAACACTGGACTAATCCAATACAGTGCCACATCGTACATCGAATTAGTTTAAATATAATTCTTTCGCTTCTACTTCTTTTTCTTAATTTAGATTTAGAATTTGTTTATGTATTTGTTTATCCCTTGTTATATTTTTGTTTAAAAGTCTATGCTAAAATAGGCTGCTTATGTTCTACATGCTTTCGAACCTGACTTTGTGTTAAGTCTCTGTGTAAATATATAGTGAAAGAATTGAAATCTTTGAAAAGGAATCTTTGTGAAAGAATTTAGAATGTATCATTTAACAGAATTTATAATAACAGAATGAAAAGAACTGTTGCTACCGTAAGCTAATGCCACGTTTCAACAACCTATCACGATCGAGATACCTGCAAGTGACGTAGTGTGCACACTACGTCACTTGCAGGTATCCCATTGAATAAAATGTGAGATTTAATAAAACAAAGTTTATCGAATAGCATGGTGTGCCAAGCGATCAAGCTTCTAACGTATTTGAAGTTAAAGTACAGTGTGCAGAAAGTTAGCGGACAACCCTAAATAACTTTTGATCTAATGATTGGGTATTCACGTTCTAATAATCTTAATGGTTCGAGAGAGTTACCTCAAATATGTTAATTAATTAGTACAGACGATATTTCAAGTTAAGAAATGAGACGAAACGTACTTTCTCTGAATAAACATTAATTTTTTAGACGGAATTTGATTAGTGACACAATATAGGGTGTCACTGTAATCGGGGAAATATGGTTGAAATAGTTCTGTCAGGAGAGCAGTCCAAAATTTGGCCCCTTCAATATTACTTTTTATGTATTTCAATGCATCTCGAGAGCCTTTAAAGTGAATAGAAAACTTTCTTTAGGTAATTATAAAATTCATTGATTTAAAAATAAGTCAATATATAAGTAAATATTTACTATGTTTTGTTATTTTATTTAAACACAGTCGGTAAAATTTTTAATTGAAAGGTATGTGATTTTTTACATCGTTTTAAAGAATGAATTTTTTTGTATACGTAAATCTTTATTTGCAGACAATAAATAAAACTGTCAATATTTTACATTGAGAGATACATATAAGGAACTGATACTCTGTAAAAAAATTTCGTTTGGCTGAAAACTGAAAAATTATGAAAACTATTTAGCACCGAAGTGATGTTTCACTAGGTGATCCACTACACCAAAACTAAGGAGAGTTTTTTGGGAAATCAAGCACCTGGAATGTTAATTTACACTATTAAGTGTAAAGTAGTTGCCAGCATGTTTGTTATTCAATAACATTAAATTGTTGTCTATAGTTACATTGTTTGCCAGACATAATAATGGAACTGATACACTGCAAAAAAATTTCATGCTGCTGAATACCAAAAATGGTGACTACTACTTAGCACCAAAGTGGTGCTTCAATGGGTGATCCATGACGCCAAAAACAAGGATTCCTGGTAAAACGAAATGCTTGGAATGTTCTTTTACACTACCGGGTATAAAACAGTGTAAAAGAACTTCCGACCGCTCTCCTGATCAGACTATATGAAACTAAAATTGAGACTACCCCCTACATTTTTAGGTTTAAAAATCATAATCAGTCGAAACAAAATGGTATATATATTTTTTTTAAAAGTATATTTTTGTATCTGTTATTGTAACTTAAAATATCCTCTGCACTAGCTAATCAACTAATCAGCATATTTGAAGTCATTCCCGCGAACCATTAAGACTGAGTCCTAGCACGCGAAAACCCGCTTATAAGACCAAAAGAAATTTTAGATGACTCGTGTCTTTTTCTTTTTGAAAACAGTACACAGGTTGATTCGTTGAATCTTTTTACTTTCAGCGTTGGGCGTAATTGAGCAATATTGATTTCGTCCGGTTTGTTGATTATTTACTTTTTGTATTGCCTCGTGTAAAGGATATGTATTCATCCAATAACAAATAATAAATAAAGCTACAGGAAGGTTCTCTTTCAATTTTAATATTACGAATTAGTGCTTTAAAAAGTACATCGATAGTTTCGTAGTTTTTGAATCAATTGCAATTAAATACTTTAAAAGAAAGAAGTCTTTTTGTCCAATACTCAAATAACGAAATTTACCTGCTTTACAAAATAAATAAATCTCTTTAAGTTGAGATGTTTAATTTCTAATATTGATTCTTCTTAAAATAAAAATAGGAAAACAACTAGAATTATTTATATTGTTGACAAACTTTCTTCTCCTTTGTTGAATCGATAAAGTTTGAAAACGAATCTCACGAATATCCATTAAATCTGCAAAATAATATAATTTAAAGAATATAATAATGTAACTTAAATATAAAATATTAAATCCAGTCATAAATATTTGAAAAGTGCTTTGACATCACTCCTTCAAATGAAGCTTTCCTTATTGGCTTTAAAATCGAGCGAACTGATTCAAATTTTATGTAAAAAAAAGTGCGGAGTAAACATATTAATAACTAATTTTTGTTCAAAAAATGGATAAATTGATATTTTCTTACCTTTTCTGTTATTGCTTGCCATTTTACTTCTGAACTACACAAAAATAAACACCTTGATTTTAAGATGAAAGGATTCAATTTTCTAGATTCTATTAAAATCAAACTTATTTAAACTGTATTTGGCGTGTGGAAAGAAAATGGACAAATAATACAACGAAAAACTAATATTCGTGCAACATATGGATTCTAGGTGTTCTGGTAGTTTTTCTATTTATATCGAGCTATTCTTCAACTTAAACTAACTACTAAAAATAAACAGCGGAAATACTATACATTATTTTCTAGTTAGGAAGGAATTACATCTGTAGTAAATTGAAATTAGAATTCACTGTGCAATTTTTAAAACTACATACCCGACGAATATTGTATGCTACAGATTTTCGATACAAGAAAGAGTTAAGCATTCTATAAAACTACGAATTTAGTAGTTTTTGGGATAACTACTTTAAACTAGACAAAAGGAAATTGGTTAAAGATTTTATGAGTCTATAGAAACTGTATTTGTTCTATATGTTGCATTATTATTTGAGTTTCTCAGCGGACATCTATTTTTAACCACATTCAAAGAACTGAACAAGTTAATATTCATCCTGGACATAAATGAGCTGCTACAACTTTAAATAGAAGAACTTATGTATACATGTACTCAAAAGTCTTATATACTACAACCTGATCTGCAAGATATCTAGTAACTAGATAAAAAATCTTACTCTGTTGTGAGATGAATAACTTACCAATCTTTTTCCTGAGAATTTATATTTTAAATTGCATAAAATTGATATACAAGATACTATCTCAACTTTTAGATATGAAGAAATCATACAACTTCTGATATGAAGGTTTACCAAATTAGAAATAGAAGAAATTATGTCTCAGTACTGAGAACTCCTATTATAAACTACATAAGTATGATCTGCAAAATATATAACTTCTAGAAATTAAGCAATTACTTTGAACGTAAAGAGAAAAAACTCATCAATCTCAGTGCTCAGAACTCATATTATAAACTATATATAAATGATCTGCAAGATATATGACTTCTAGGGATTATTCCAACTGGGAATTGAAAAAGACAATTAATATCAGTGGGGAGAATTTCTACGTTAAACTACACAAAAATGTCCTGCTAGATATAGAACTTCAAGATAAGAAGGAATTACTTCGAATTTAGAAATGAAGAACTTATCAATTGCTGTGATGAGATCTCCTATTATAAACTATACAATAAGTGAGCAAGGTAAACATATATTTTCTGGCTATGAAGGACAATATTTACAAGTTGTTCTTGATGGTCTTGGAGTGGAATCTGAGTTTCTTAAAATCATAGTTGTAAAAAGTGCAGCAGAAGCTCTGGCAGTTGTACACGAAGGAGCTGCAGACATGGCTCTGACTTACTTGGTACAATTCTATGAATTCTTAGAAACAGTCGACTTCAGTATGTTTTATACTGTTGCTTCTTTCAGCTTTGGAATTCGCAAATCTATTCCTCTTGAAACTAAGTATTCTTTCATTTACCCGTTTACTCTTCCAGTTTGGATTGGATGCTTAGCAACTGCTGTGCTGTTGCCATTAGTTTACAAATTTTTGGGAAACTCAAACGTGACCTACCTACAGTTATTTACATACTTTTGCATTGGGATAACTGAACATCCCACAGAATCAAATAGAAAGTCCTTTAGGACTAGAATATTGGTCCTTTCGTCCTTGATTTTCAGATTAATAATGACTTTCAGTTACGCAGCCATTTTACTATCATTTATGGCAAACCCTTTGATGAATCCTCCGATTCGTAATTTCAAGGATTTATCGAAAGCTACAGAAACAACCGGTCTGAAAGCATATTGTGTTGACTCTACTTATGCTAAAGACGTGTTCCGAAGAGCGAACCAGAACCAGGGGTATATACAGTCTCTAGGACAATATATTGATGAACACAATTATTATTATTGGTTCGATTCCATTGATTATGCTAAGACATATGCTGAGGGGAGTGCTGTCATAATGGTTGTTCCATCTTTATTGGAAGTT